AATGAGTTTCTACATGACATAGACGATTTGTGGTTTCGGGTAGCATACAATCGCCAACGAATTTTAAAAGTTAACATATTATCGAAATTCTCGAAATACTAGTTTTAAATGCCTAATTTGACGTGTCATAACTTTTGCTATTGTTGACCATTTCGAACGCCTTTAGTGAGCAAAAAACTAGGTCATGATCACTTTGAAATAGTATTAAGAATGTAATATTTCGACTTCATTTGACATCCTGTAATGAGTGTATCAAAATAGGTCGTAAAGGGATTAAAACAACTATTTTCAAATAAATTTAAAAAAAAAAAAAGACAAAGGCAAAAAATTTGTGGGGTCGTTTGACCCCACATGACCCCATGTGGGTCCGCCTATGGCTAAACGTTCAATATTATTAAAGATAGCAGTCTTGCATATACCTAATGCTAATCAAGATTTTCTTGTTAAAATGATTGAAATGAAGGACGTGCTAATGAAATTTAAAGAAAGCTTTAATTGTCTTCTTCCTTTTCATGTTTTTGTAGTGAGGAGCTTGACGAAATAGATTCCATTGTTACGTTGCACCCTATTTAATATTCAGCTGTAAACATTGATGCAGTGTATTCTTGCATTTTATTTGGAACATGGCGTTTTATGTACTCGTAAATAATTCAATCTTGATTTTAACCTACAATATTCTTGGCTACAGGAATATGGTCATCGTGTTAGGTTGGCAACTCATGCTAACTTCCGTGAATTTGTGAAGTCAGCTGGGGTATATTTTTACCCACTTGGTGGCGACCCTCGGGTTTTGGCTGGATGTAAGGGGTCCTCAACAAGCATATACATTCCTGTCATCACTAAATGAACTGTAGTAGATCTACTGTGGCATTAGTATGACTCTCATTTAGTCTCATTAGGATTCTTATGCGTATTCTGTGACCTTGGGATCCTGACTATAGCATGCAAGTACCTTATCTCTCTTATTTTTCCATTATATTATTGTTTTCCCCTCCAACGCACCACAAGAGGAGCAATAATCCCTCATGTTGTTTTATCTAGTTCGTAGCTTCATTTAGATGTGGAAAACTATATTTTTATTGTTCAAGTCAAAGACATATATGGATGTTGTTCAACAGTTCAATGTATGATTTAGTGGTCTTTATCTACTTGATAGTAAGTTTTATATTTCCTAGTCCTGCAGCTGTTAAATTCTCATTTAGCTTCTAATATTTAATTAATAGAATCGAATCATCAATGATGGGGCACTTCTTTGAGTGAATTTTTTGCCATTGCAGATATGGCCAGAAATAAAGGACTTATACCATCAGCACCTGGAGAAATATCTGTACAGAGAAAGCAAATAAAAGCCATTATTGAATCTCTGCTTCCAGCTTGCACAGAACCTGATGTAGAAAATGGTGAACCATTTAAGGCTCAAGCAATTATTGCAAACCCTCCTGCATATGGTTAGTTATTGTAATGTTTTTCTGTTCTGTTACAACTTTTCAAAATTTTGGTAAATTATTATTGTAGAATGTAGATTTTTTGATTGAATTTAAATCTTTTAGTATGACCGTTAATCAGCATTTAGCCATTTAGAGTTGAGAACCAAATTAAGAGCAAATTTGCATTTTGAATTTTTAATGCTAGCTTTTGAAAACTTCACTCTTCAAATACTTCAATACATTTGTTCAGTTGCGTCTTTGAGTGGATGTAGCGATAAACTGATCGGAATGGTGAAAACAAATTTATGTAGATGGCCCCAGATTTATTGGGAACAAGGCTTTCTTTGTTGTTGTTTGGAAGCGTTTGTGTCACTTCATATGTTTCCTAATTGTTGTCAGGACATGCGCATGTTGCTGAATCTCTTGGTGTGCCCTTGCATATCTTCTTCACGATGCCTTGGACGTGAGTTTAGATATTCATTTCTGTTTTTGTTTCTCAGTTCTCTGTCTCACTTAACCCTTCTAAGTAATTGAACTAATATTAAGTTGTCTGGTATAAGAATTAAGTTTTATCAAAAGAAAAAATAAATAAATAAATTTATCTACATTTCCTCTCAAGGAAAGATTAAAAAAAAGTGCAATTATAAAAATAACCGTGTCCACAATATTTGATGTTTCGAGGATGGTTTTTGGCTCTATAAAATTGACAACAAAAGATTTCTGTAGACAA